GCGTGTGGTTGTCATGGAGATGGAGGTTGGGTCCCTTGGCTGATGTTGCCGTGGCAACTGTCGCTAGCGGCTACAGCTAGGGATCTTACTCGTGTAATTACCTTCTCTGCCCTTTATTTAATTTTAGGGTTCCCTTATTTCCTGTATAATTTTTTTCCAGTTATTGAACAGCAACAGTGGTAATCCCGCAATAGCTTAATGGCGTAATTGATCATACACATTTTATGTTTTTTTTTTATAATGAGGCCGTAAGTGTTGTGTGCACATGTGTATCCATTTACTCGTGCTTTCAAAAAGTGATTATTTTAACTGCTGTGCCGTTATAAAAAAAAAACGACGCCAACGTGCACTCACCAGTGCGGTGAAGTATGGTCAAATGAGCACGATGACCAGCAACGCATTGGGGAGACCGTCTCTTTCGTAATTTCTTGTCAACTCAACTCAACTGACAATACTTCGCCTGGAATTTCGAGTGCAAACATTAAACGGGTGACTAATTACATTGACCGTATTTTATCTATGTGCTTTTATTGCTTGTGGATGCATTTCCTTTAATTAAAGGTAACATTTTAAGCCTCAACAATTAAATATCACATTGTACATTGTAATATAATATACATTTTCATGTAAAATATACCATCGTTGGGTGTGTGTGGTGGCATACAACTTTTGTTTCCAAATTACACTCTCAGTGTGCTCTCTGCATGATGTCGTAAACTCTCAAAGCTAGCAGTGGACCACCTTGTGTCGCAGAACAGCCTAGGAAGATGATGTCACGTGCCCACTTCTTAAGTCAATTCAACGTCGCTGGGCGATGGTGCACGCCTGTTGACACCAGGGTTTGTGGATCACGCAGACGTTGTGAAACGCCATTCCCATGGTCATTGACGTGCTATACCCTGGCATTGTTGTTCTTACCCCGCACCTCCGATTAGCACGGTTGGCTACGTATGGTGTGAAAGAAGTTCAACGTATGTACATACATTGCCAAGCGAAGGCAGAACAGCAAATGTGGACTCCACCTGTTCCATCTGCTCAGGTTTTCTCTGGTACACTCCAGTTTCTTCCCACATGTATGGATGGTCATAAATAGGCTTAAAAACATCTGAATATACAGAGAACCGCAGAGCTTTGGGGGTGAGGTAGAGCGGTGCGGGGGGAATATAGCGCCAGCTCATTGCCTCAGTGGTTCTTTCTTTTCGAGAGCGAGTGCTGTTTAATTACAAGCTGAATTTTTTTAAATATATAATAGGGTTCTTTATGCACACCAGGGACACACATTTGATGTGCCCTGCAAAGTGTGTTCCAGCTGTCAATGAAACGATTTATTTTTAATGCTCAGAGCTGGAATGAACAAAGTAGTAATTGGTTAAAAATACTTTAACCTTTCTGGCATAATGCTTGCGTTAAGATATAAAAACACCAAATAGACAACTATTACAAGGTATCAAGTTCGCGTTAACCACACATACTTGTGGTAAAACATGCAAACAAATATGCTTTGAAAATGTATAAACTATAAAAAAAAATATTTTACCAAGCAATGCCTACTGAGCTATCTAGATAGCTCTTTTCACATGTGACCTGACCACAAATGATAGCTCAAAATGTGGAAGGAAAAACTGGAGGACCCAGACAAAAATGTGCGTGATCATGAGGAGAACATGCAAACTCGAAATATACAGCAGGCTTCAGGGTCGGGATCAATCCCACGACCTCCTGTGTACCAGGCGAGGTGGTTAACATCTCGCCACTGTGGCGCCCCGCTGATTGGCCTACACCAGTGACAGTCTATTTTTTTATCTTCATACTGGAAAAAGGGTCCCCATAGAATCTAAGTGATTGGTGTCTGGACTAGGAAGATCCACTCACTCAAAGCACAATCTTGAGTGGCTGCGGCTCAGCGCTTGTGAGTTGCCTTCTGAGCCAGGTTGTTAATATTGTATTTTCGTTGCACTCTTCTGACTTCTCTCTCCCTTTGCTGATGAGAATGGCCATTGTGTGTGTATATAGTTTTACTCGTTTGTGTATAATTGTATAATTTTCGCTTACAACGGCAGTGCTCGCCAGTAAGTGCTCTCTGCTAACACATTTTGAGCCCGACAGCCAATGTTTCCACTCTATGATCCCACTTAAATTAAGATAAAGGACAAATAAATTAAATGCACTTACTTATGCATATTTGTGTTTAGGCTCAATTTCCATCGCGGGATTTGTAGAATGGACTTACGATTTGCGAGGACTGTAAGCCAATCATTTACAGCCTCTGTCAGTTTGTGATTTTGCAAAAAAAAATTCGTGTCAAAAGTCGCCTGCCTCAATAAAACCAAATAACGGGGGGCATATCACCAAGGCGACGACTCTGGCACCGTCTCCTCACGATTTGAATCTCGTTTCTAAGTCTGCGTACGTGCCGGCAGTATTGTCACACTAAGCCTTTGGGAGGTGTGTGCTTGTGTCGCGTAGACCCGCCCTCGTTGAGGGCCTTTGAGAGGGATGAGGGATTTGTTTGTCCACCGTGTGTCCGTTGAGGCATGAGCCGCCCAGGCATACGGAGACGATGGCGGTTAACGCACGCGGCCTGTAATGCGGCACCGCGGAGGCAGCGAGGGGTCGGTGGATCACCGCACAAATGTTATGGAACTCCCTTCCATTGAACGACGAGGAGGTTCCTGAGCATGGCTCGCCAGAAGGCGGTACAGCAAGTGCCCGACTCATTTCCACCCGTCTCATCTGTATGGGATGGAGCGTTGCCTCCCCTCGCACGCGAGGGTTTTCTCCCGAGTACTCGGCTTTCCTCACGCACGTATAAACACTAAATTAATTTGCTGAAAACATCTTAATTTATACGCGCGCCTTCGTGTGTTGCAGTTGCATAATTGACGCCGCTATATACAAACAAAACGTTATCTGCATTATTATAGGTGGAGAGAGATGGGATGGGCGGGGGGAAGGGGAGGGGTGGGTGCAGGAGAAGGAATGGAGGATGGAGGCACCGCACGGACAGCTGGAATCATGGGGACTCTGTCTGGGTTTGGCCCAGGGAGATTACTCAAGGTGACGGGCATGCGGATTAGAGTGTAAATCTGGCTTTGTATGAACTACACAGATTTTGAAAGGCATCCAGCTGAGTCTATTAGAATAATTAGCAGCATTTGTCCAGACGTGTTCAGGCTTGTTATAATTGGGCGCAATAATTGAAATGGCATCTATTTTTCATTATTATTTTAAAAGTCATTGCCATTGCAGTGTTTTAACTGAATGTTGATTGGGTGGCTTGGTGGCCTAGAGGTTCACGTTCTTACCTCTCAAGTCCAGGGATTGTGGTTCAATTCCAGCCTAAACGGCCCAATTATGCGCAACTAACACGTTTGCGGTGTAAGTGGCTCCAAGGGACGTTGTTTGCAAAGATCATCGATTGCCGGTAATTTGTAAAATTATCCACCTGCCCTTCGTTACTGGACCACCCTTTCCCTGATGGCTCGAGCTCCGAGGCTGGGGAGGGTGGTACTCCGTGTACCAGCAACAAACGATGCACTTCAAGCAGTGGAGCGACAAGATGGGAGGTGACTCATACCTTGTCCCAGTGGCCACAGGGAGCCGGGGGATGGTTTACGGAGACACTTCAAAACAAGGGTAGCACAAAGCAGCACGTATGACCTATTGGCTGACTGTAGGCAAGGCGAGTTGTTGTTATTGGCAATGCTTAGGTGCTGTAAAAGTGCCCTGTTATGTTAAGTCGCCTACCATCAAACGAGTTATCTTAAAGTATTTTTTTGACGTTTCTAAGATGTCTACCGCCTCAAAAATCCTTCCGTAGAAAGTGGAACCATGAATTGTATGTTTTGTTGTTCTAAAAGATGCCCTCCCCTTTCCTTTCCATTCCATTCGATCCCGAGACCCACGCCTGCCTGTACCTATACTGGCCATAAGCACCCCTCTCTCACTTTCACATCTTCCATTACCCTCACATCGCTCACCACTCGTCGCAGGTGGAGCGGTGGTTTGTTACACCTCTCGGGACTGTGGGAGGTGGTGATAGCTTGGGGGAAGGCCTTCATCCAGCGGCGGATTGATCATGACTGACGATGATGGCCACTTTCTCTCAACTCATTTCGCTACTTCTTGGTGGTCACTCCTCACATTGATGAATTTGTGGATGAATTTTACTTCTTAGGCTCACGATGCATGCAATACATTGTTTGGTTCGGGATCAATTGGTTAATATTTATGCAATTCACGTGCAAAATATGCTCACATGTATTTAGGCGAATAGAAAAAAAAGTGGTGAAACAAACAGTGTGAAACATGAGTGACGGATAACACCAGCATGGTGGTATAAATAAGGCAGAACATAACCTGCTTAAATTGGATTGCGACCCCGAATCCTGACAATTAATGAATCGCCAGAGGTGAAATGATCCTCATGGCGGTACCCCGGGGACCCAAATAATACAAAATGGCCGAGGCAATTCAATATTTTATTTCTGGGACACTATTTTTCCCAGGGGTGTTACTTAACTGCGCGATTGGGGTACCAATCAGTCCGAAATCAGTGCTACTCCGCGATGTCGAAACGCCAATCATTAGCATAAAATCCGTTATCTAAAAAGTATCCTTTGAATAGTGAATCGTGTACAGCTCGTCGAGATGAGTCGATTGCGGCATCGCCGACCATCAACAGACTAAAAATGACTGCATCACGGACATTATTCGAGAGCCGGGGTACCGCCATAAGGTTCAATTGTCCCACATGTCCTTCGCCCGCACCTCTGATTAGCACGGTTAGCAACGAACAGTGCAAAAGAAGTTCAGCATACGTACAACATACATTCGAATCTGACCTTGCTCCCTACATGCACCCCACATTTACTGGACCCCTCCTCCGTCAACCTCGTGGCCGCTCGCACACCCTCTCCTGCCGACGCCGAGCTCTCAGCTCCTCTTGCCCTGCCGCCTGTCAAACCCCCACCGTTGTGTCCGCTCCCCCGTGCCCGCAGGGAGAAGCGCCCGTTCCAGGTGAACGTCTTCGACGCCGCAGCATGCACCATGGGAGGCAAGCGGAGGACGATCGCGCTGGAGACGTCGCCCGGGCAAGACCAGCCCGAGTTCCGCAAAAACGGCACAGGCCTTGTACTCCTGTGGGCCGGCTAGGCACCGCGGTGGCACATGCGGTGGTGGGGAAGGCTGGCGAGCGGGCGGGTGGTGGTTTTTACGTGACGCTGCATCCGAGCAGCGGGAGAGGATTTTGATCGAACCATTCCATTACTGTCGACAGCGCGGGAAATCAATGGGCAACAACTGGAAGGGAAACCGTTTAGGATTAGGGATCGATAGTTCTCAACTCTAGGCCTTGCTATACAATTCATTCCATGGCCCTTCTGGTATGCCAGTCTTTACTTCATTGCAGTCTAAAGTGTGCCACTGTGCATTAAACGTGCCTGCCTGCCAGTTGTAGGCGTTTAGAGAAATGTGTTGTTGCACATGATGAGCACTCATGCTATTAGAAGCCGGAAGAGTTGAAACTACTTCGTCATTATATTACAATGCAACACAAGGGTGGGTTTCTAAACATTGCATATGTGTGTGTTACACGGTGTGGATAATTATTTGTAATATAAGAGGACATTTTATGGTGCCATATTTTTGGATAAATCAAATGGCAAATCAAACGTTAAGTTATAGCCAATTTTACAATGGCACATGTACCGATGTTACTTGTTTGGAAGAACGTTGAGAGCAACGTTTCTCAACTTTGGTCTGTGCGACATCGCACAGTCCGCTCTTTCGTGATTGCTAACCTCTTGTATTCACATGCAAATTAAACCGCTGCACGCACCGTTTGCACCTGATGGTTGGCAATCACAGAAGGCTGTACCGTGTGCATGGGCGAGGATTGGAGAGTTTAAGAAACTCTGGTTTAGAGGACTGGGTGGCAGGCGGTCAGCACCGCCCCAGTTTGTCTGAAGCCAGCTTGTGCTGCGTGCAAGTGGGATGTGAGAAAGGTGTGGACTGTTTTTTGTTTTTGCCAAATATAATTGTTTAATGATCTCTCTAAAAACGGGGCAGTGCCCATGTTGAGCGTGTCGTCAGCCCTTTTTAAAACAGTTTCAATTTTTATGTTTTTATTTCATTATGAACTTAATACACACTTATGCTATAACAGCACAGCTTTTATATATATACTTATATTATATATTCAAAATATCCAATATCAATACCAAAAGGAATTTTTGTTTATTATACATAGCATTTCGTTCGTGTATGTGACCTGTTGGAGCAGAATTGGATGATAGTGGGTTGTGTGCCTTTTGTTATCATGGAGAATGGGACCAAATAAAGGTTATAACGTGATCACACAGCCTCCGTGAGATCTTCACCTGTGTACAGTGGCTGTCGTTGACGTGCGTTTTATATATCGTGGTTATTTTCAGCCAAGTCGTATTTCCCATTGAGCTTCTCTGGCATTTGCGATGTCTTCAAACAAATCAAACCTTCTCACAAAATGTAAAAGTGCACAGGGGCTGTTGTTATTAAGTGTTGTTGTTGTGTAAACGCGTGTTTGCCATGGACATTGTAAGTCAGAGGCAATGGATGTAATGTAAAGCTATGTTAGAATTTTAAATTCAATTTACGAAAACTACTTTATGGCAGAGGGGTTGTTTTGGATAAAGGGGGTCCCTTTAAAATGTCACTAAGAATACTCTTAATAATTACTTATTTTAGCACAAGCCAAAATGTCTAATTTAAATAGTGTATATGTAAATGTGACCAGCTTTGAGCCTGGGTAGCACTTAGATGGGTAACAACCATGCACAAACAGGGCTGCGGGGATATGTTCCGTGCGGAAAAATCCATTGTTGTTCTGTACTTCTATGCTTCCACGTATATGCTGTCCACCTTCACCCACCCGCACTGATCAGCATGGTTAATATTGGTTAAAAAAAAAACATGTCCAACTCAACTGCGGTGTGCACTGCACGTGAGATGCGTTACGATTCACCTCCCGGCAATGCAGTGGATTGGCACGATTTAGATGATCGATTCTATTCAAGAATCAATTTCTATTTTTATAAACATTGTGGTATATGTAGTGGCCACTGGTGGCTTCAGGGGTCACGTGATGAACCAAACACATACAATGATAAAAAAAACATTGACGGCGCACTTGTTTTCATGCGAGTGTAAGAATGCACATTTCTGAACCGATGCATAGACACCTCGACTAAAATGTGTGGTGTAAAATTTACTTTTAAATGATCCAATGATATGTTTTGGCTGCCAACAGAACCTTTTTTTTTATTATGCTTGTTGATTCCAAAAAAGCTTCACTGACCGAGTCTAATTACTCAGTTTCAGGATAGCTGGCAGGTTCTCGCGGGAGTGGGCGATGATCGCCATGTGAAATCCCAATTGAGTAAATTGCAGGTAACATTTTCAAATTTGGCAAATTTGGACCATGACGATGGTACACAATGACATACTCTTGACATCCACTGTGAATCTTAACAGCCACTGTGAAGCACACGTAATACACCGCAACAATGACCAGGGTGGCTGCTGGATTCTGCTGGAACCTCTGCAACAAGCGGTGAATGTGCTCCGGCTAAAATGAAACTAAACGATTTTTATTTTACCAGGTAAGGGCCACCGAGCTATATCGCTTTTTTCATAAGCGACCTGGCCACAAATGATCGCTCAGCGAAGTGGCTTATCACGTGCAAATTTAATAGCAGACAAAATACTCTAAACGCATGTTTCTAAATCTGGAGGGAAAAACCAGAGGACCCAGGGAAAAATCCACATGACCACGGGGAAAACATGCAAACTCCAAATACACGGGCATCAGGGTCGGAATTGAACGCATCAGCTGCATATCAGGCGAGGTGTTTAACATCTCACCACCGTGGCACCCATGTTACTAGGCCATGTTACTGCTGCTCTATGTCAAATTGATTTTAACTGGGTAAAAAGTATTCATAATAATTATTTCCAGCCCTTAATCAATCCACTGCTGGCTGGCGGCCTCCGTCATTGTTCAGCACACCGGTGGGCTAAAGAAGTGAATTATGTTCTTTGAAAAAACGTGACACATTTTTTACTGTTTGGCCGTGTCGGGTGGTGGAGGGTTAAGACACATTTATAAATAACGCGATCTGACCCAAAAACCTATATTATGAATAATATTGGTCGCGAAAGCTTACGTGTTAAATTAGCCATGGAGTTGTTTGACCTACTTTACCATGCTGGTCAATGCAGGAGCAAGTATAAATACAATATTCTCAGGTGTAATAGGTGTTCCAAATGTTGCACTCAACTAAAACAACCTTTACAATATGGAACCGTAGGCAATCTATAGTGGTGCACTTCACACATTTTCAGAGAGGGGGTGGGGCCCACTTTCGCCGAGAAGACATCATCAGTGTGAGGGTCGCCACACATTTGAGACCATTGAGGTTTGACAGCACAATGATGGGGAGTGTTTTCACATTTGTGTATTGTCAATGAAGAACACTGCTATATTGCACGTACCCAGGCACTGTCTTAAAGCCATGCGAGCCACGCAATGGGTTTGTACTGTTTTATTGGCTTCTGTCGTGTCCAGTTTTAAAATTTGAATTAAACATCAGTATGTCCGTACACCAGCAATGGCAAATTATTATTGAATGCAACGGATCACTTACCACAGCGTAAACTAAATTGCACAGTCAATAAAAATATTCACATCTAATGGGTGTCACGTTTTCAAGAATACCAGGTGCAATTAACATACAAAACAAATAAGATATGTATATATACACACACGCACGCACGCCACTGTCCTTGATAATTGGCACATCTTAGTTGTATACATTGGAGATTCCCAGTTGCGTCATTCGAATAATAATTAGAACGAGAATGAACCGCGCGCACATTGATCCACCTTTGATTCATTTAAAATATAAAATATTAATAACCTGTGTGTTGAACACATATCTGTCATAAAAATACAATAAGTTAATATAGGTAGCCGAATGCATTCCAGCAATAGAATTACGAGTGCACAATCACACACCACGACGGACACTGATCGCGTACAGCCGTACATAGAACTACAAAATAGAGCGACGAGGGCCTGTGGCTGTGGCCACCAGCTGTAGGACTATTTCGGAGGAATTGACTTTTTGTTGTTGTTGTAATCGAGCACTCTTGTTACAGCAAGTAATTGCGCATTCGATTGCAAATAATGGCAATGACAAGAAGAATGTCACATGCTACACCAAACTGTATGTAGTAATTTTTTAAATGATCTTATTGGGTCTGAGGCGGTGAGGCATTTCCCCAGTAATATTACCCATCAAAATTGGTCAATAATAGCCGTGCCGTCTGTTTTACAAAGTGTTTTAAGTGTGTGTGTGTGAGAGAAAACAACTACTGTGCATTTAACTGCAACATAAAGTTCTCGGTAACATCTTTGCATCTTATGCCATTCGCCACCTTGCCTCGCATTTCAAATATATTTAACTTAACGCTCTTTTACAACCTTCATGTGCCTGCCGCATTCAGTCTCCAGGCAAGCAGTCTCTATAAGATGCGTGACCGGGTGTCACATGTTGCACCCACGTGTTAAAACCAAAATCTAATATTGAAGCCACTCATTGGTGCATGCTGTGCACGTATAACTTGTGTATTGTGAATAGTACCAAAAGCAATCATCCACGACAGCAAAACATTAAAGAGAAGTCACGGTAAAATAAAAAAAAATGCAAATTGGTTCTGTTGCAACATTTTGCCCCAATGTTTGCAGTCCCAGTCAGCCAATATTTTCGAAGCGTAATGAGGAGCAATTAACGTCTTGTGTTTCGACTGCCCGGGCAATCACCATCCCTCATCCTCTCGTAATCCAAGCTGTCTGCCTCGTCACACGTTCTGAACCTTTTTAATCAAACTGCTTTTGACACACATACTGCCTCGAAGCCATCAGAGGACAGCTGAAGAACACAAGCTTCAAACGGATTAAAAATTATGAATGCAAAAAAATAGACGAAGTTAGAGTTCCAATCCCGTGGAAAACGCATGCGGTCTGAAACATGCACCTTAAACTCACTGATATATTGTTTTCCTAAAGACTTCTGCAAGCTCATCAGGGGCCAGCTAACTGAAACTCCAGCATCAGACCCCACTATAGTGGCGGCAGCGGTAGCATCAGCAGCGTGTGTCTGGGAGGCGTCGTCGTCGTCGTCGTCAGCGGACGGCCGAGCGAACAGTGGCCCAAGATCTGGCCTTGAACGAGGGAAGTCTCTTTCCTCTCTCCGTCTGGAGCGGTCCTCGGGCTACGCATACTTTGCGTGCGATAGGTGATGTGGGCCGTGGCCTTGAGCTCGTGACCTCGCGGCTATCGGTCCAGGTGGAAGCTCCAGTGGGGCATGCCCTCCCGCGCGCCCTCTTCCTTCAGCTCGGAGAACACCTGCGTGAAATAGTGCGGGTCGGCGTTCAGGCGCAGCATCTTGGCGCTCATGAGCTGAATTATGCGCAGGCATCGCTCCCAGAAGGCGTCCCGGCTGCTCTCCACGAGGAACGGCTTGAGTGGGTACGAGATCTCGTTGCCCATGTAGGAGTAGGACAGGTAGAGGCAGGTGAGCAGCGCCGCTCGCAGCTCGTGCTCGCTGCCCGTGTGCGCGCTCACCGCCTCGCGGCACAGCAGGTAGACGAAGACCACGTTGGCGGGCGTCACGAACGCCTGGTCCTGCCAGCCTTGCAGCAGCAGGGACCGGTCGACGGCGCGCAGCCACAGGCCCGGCTCCGACGGGGACAGGTGGCGCAGGCGGGAGCAGCGACGGCACAGGAACTCGCCCAGGCATTTGAGCAGCTCCGAGGTGGAGGCCTGAACGACGACGCGGCGAGGCGGGCTGCGGCTCTGCTGCACCAGCGCTTGTTGGCCCTTTCTTCCTCCCGACAGCACTTGCTGCTGCTGCTGCTGTTGTTGCTGCTGCTGATGCTGAGGCTGCTGCTGCTGCGGCTGTTTTTTGGTACAGCTGAGCGCCGGCTGCAATGGAATGGAGGAGGATGGAATGAATAAAATCACTCTCTGCTGCTCGCTGCGTCCTACACACTTCCCCCATTCATTTACGTCTGGAATCGGACGCGCACGTTTTTTTTAAGCACTCGGTTAATTAGCTGCGTCGTCGTTTTAAAGAAGGCGGCGTGCTGGAAACGTAAGCTGCGACGTTTAAATGCCACAAAAAAACCCCATCAGAAACAACGATCCAATCAAACGAATCCCAAATTTAAAACCATAATTCGTACGTGTGTGTCCCTTCCCATGTCTATATTTTGGCTGCCGAGGTTAACGCTTGCGCTTTGAGCTTGGCAAGGCAAACGGTTGTCATGACCCATATCAAACAATCTGACATGTGCGGATAGAGTCTGGGGCTTGGCAATCACGTCCATCTGTCCGTCTGTCTGTCTCTATGTTGTCCGTGCATGCAGTCACGTAGCGGTTCGCGTGCTTGCGCTACGAACCCGGCCACCCGAGTTCGATTCCCTCTCACGGCCAACACCAGCGACGCATATCCGAACTCGTCGTGGGTCTCCCTCTAGGTCGACTCAGCCTCAAATGAGTACCCGGTGATGGTGCGTAAAATCATCGCCACTCGGGAGACAAAGACGGCCGGGCGTGGTGCTGGCCAGCCGGCTTTCACAGGTGGCTTGCTAACACCAATTGCCGCAACAGCCTGTTCAGGCTACACGGGGGATCTTTGTCTTTTGCGCGTGCACACGTGAGACATTGGGTGTCATGTATGCGCGTTCTGGATGAACGCAGAGCTGTGTGCTGCTGGTGGTGATGGTGGTGATGGTGCTGCTGATGATGATGGTGATGATGATGATGGTGGTGATGGTGGTGGTGGTGATGGTGGTGGTGATGGTGCTGCTGGTGATGATGATGGTGGTGGTGGTGGTGGTGATGGTGGTGGTGGTGATGGTGGTGGTGCTGCTGATGATGATGGTGGTGATGATGGTGGTGATGGTGGTGGTGGTGATGGTGGTGATGATGTTACCTGGGGCGGCTGGCAGTACGCGCTGAGGTTGGCGCACGAGTACGACTTGGGGAGATTCTCGCCGTGCTTCTGAGTCGAGCTCTCCTGGTTGGGGTTCACCTTGGTGGCGCTCTTCTTCCTCGTCGAGGCGGCCACCAGGCGCTTCCAGGTGAGCGCCGAGATGAGGATGGAGTGGCGTTTGAGACCCTTGCCGTCCTTGGAGTTCTTGCTGTTCTGCACCGCGGTGTAGTGTGCAACCGAGCCATGGCCGTCGTCGAAGAAGCGACCTTTCCGACCCGAGGGCGACAGCGAGAGCACGGTGCCCATGTCTTCCGCGGGGTCCTCCTCGCCGCGGCGACGACCGGAGGAGGAACGAGGGGGGATTCCTCCCAGCCGCACGCGCAGTCCGTGGCCACCACCAGCACCACCAGCACCCTGCCAGTCGCCACCCCCCACCGCCGCACCCCACGTCGCAGCCACCCACTTGCAACCCCCCTCTCAGCAACCTACCTCCAACTCCCCTCTCAGCCACCCACCTCCGACTCCCCTCTCAGCCACCTACCTCCAACCCCCCTCTCAGCCACCTACCTCCAACTCCCCTCTCAGCCACCTACCTCCAACTCCCCTCTTAGCCACCTACCTCCAACTCCCCTCTCAGCCACCTACCTCCAACTCCCCTCTCAGCCACCCACCTCCGACTCCCCTCTCAGCCACCTACCTCCAACTCCCCTCTCAGCCACCTGCCTCCAACTCCCCTCTCAGCCACCTACCTCCAACTCCCCTCTCAGCCACCTACCTCCAACTCCCCTCTCAGCCACCTACCTCCAACTCCCCTCTTAGCCACCTACCTCCAACTCCCCTCTCAGCCACCTACCTCCAACTCCCCTCTCAGCCACCTACCTCCAACTCCCCTCTCAGCCACCTACCTCCAACTCCCCTCTCAGCCACCCACCTCCGACTCCCCTCTCAGCCACCTACCTCCAACTCCCCTCTCAGCCACCTGCCTCCAACTCCCCTCTCAGCCACCTACCTCCAACTCCCCTCTCAGCCACCCACCTCCAACTCCCCTCTCAGCTACCTACCTCCGACTCCCCTCTCAGCCACCCACCTCCAACTCCCCTCTCAGCCACCCAACTCCCCTCTCAGCCACCTACCTCCAACTCCCCTCTCAGCCACCTACCTCCAACTCCCCTCTCAGCCACCCACCTCCAACTCCCCTCTCAGCCACCCAAGTCCCCTCTAAGCCACCTACCTCCGACTCTCCTCTCAGCCACCCACCTCCAACTCCCCTCTCAGCCACCCAACTCCCCTCTCAGCCACCTACCTCCAACTCCCCTCTCAGCTACCTCCCCTCTCAGCCACCTACCTCCAACTCCCCTCTCAGCCACCTACCTCCAACTCCCCTCTCAGCTACCTCCCCTCTCAGCTACCTCCCCTCTCAGCCACCCACCTCCAACTCCCCTCTCAGCTACCTCCCCTCTCAGCCACCTACCTCCAACTCCCCTCTCAGCTACCTCCCCTCTCAGCCACCTACCTCCGACTCCCCTCTCAGCCACCCAACTCCCCTCTCAGCCACCTACCTCCAACTCCCCTCTCAGCCACCTACCTCCGACTCCCCTCTCAGCCACCCACCTCCAACTCCCCTCTCAGCCACCTACCTCCAACTCCCCTCTCAGCCATCCACCAACGCCAATCAGCGATCGATATCCAACCACCACCACCACCACCTTCTTTCTCCTCCCCTTCACGTACAATGAATCTCGAGCAGCTGAGATTTCAAAATGCAAAATCCCTAAAAGCAGCGGACAGATCTGCTGCTATTGTCGCAGGCGCGAACGATTACATATTCAGGTATCCTTGCGAGACATCCGAGTTGCGGGGAGTGGGACAGCACGCAGACGTCAAGGATGCCGGGATCGTGGTCCGTCGTTTGAAATTAAACGAGCAGAGGCATCTCGCTGCGTGGATATTCTCTCTCTTTCTCCCCCCCCCCCCCCACTTCTCCTCTTCCTCCCTGCAAATACAATGGTGAGAGTCCAGGGAGCAGGCAAAGCCCCGCTCGTCTGAGAAACGTGGCCGGTCAAAAACGAGAGCGAGCCCGGCGTGTGTAAAATCTATAACATTTTCCCCCTCCACCCCAACCACCAACCAACCACGTCTCTCCCTCCCTCCCCTGTGGGATTCCTCATGGAAGCCTCCCTCATAATAACATGATGTCATTCCCCGACCATTGGCCGCCCCGTCTGCAAAACCACGCCCTGTGGAGTGGTGACGCGCGCTAATGTTATGATAATGGCTGCAGTTGTTTCCAGCCTGTAACGTCGCAGTGTCGAGGAGGAGGAGACAAGGCAGGGCACCCCCCCCCCCTAGATGCTCAAAACAATGATTTCATCCACATCACGTGGATGAAATCATTTTTTTGAGCGACCATGATGGTCATCCAGGGTGCTCAAAATTGTTTTTATTTTCCATCCACGTGATGTGGATGGACATTTTTTTTCAGCATCCAGGACCCCCCCCACCCCTGGATGCTAAAAAATAAAAGATTTCATCCACGTGATGTGGATTCCGTTTGGCGCACTTACGGGCGTTTTGAAATCAATAAACATATAGACACCATCTTGCCTTAAAGCTTTCGTGGCTGCAGGAATTCATATTATATGGGTCTTTCGGTAAAGGCGCGTAGATAGGTTCAAAGAAAATATATTTTGTTATTTTCTTTCGGTAAAGTCACGTAGATAGGTTCAAAGAAATTATTGTTATTTTCTTTCGGTAAAGGCGCGTAGATAGGTTCAAAGAAAATATATTTTGTTATTTTCTTTCGGCAAAGTCACGTAGATAGGTTCAAAGAAAATATATTTTGTCATTTTCTTTGAACCTATAAACGCGACTTTTACCGAAAGACCTAAACAATATATAGGCACCAATCTCGTACGAGCCTACAACCCTAATAACCGTCTTCTTGTTGTACATCAAGATGTATTTCGTGGGATCGCATGGCAGCAAAGAATATGGCTAACGCAGTTCATTCGAAATTTGTTTTTGGGTGATGTGGTTACTTGCTCGACGCTGGTTTAAAACAATTACTGTGTCATGACGTTTGACATTGTGCGACGATTTCCGAGGAGACGGAGCAATGAAATGAGCGCGTGTGCAGGTGCCTTGGGGTGGCCTAATTACATCGCCGGATCGATGGTTAGACGTGGCGGCGGTATGGGGGAGGCTTTTCATCCAGCAGTGGATTGACCATGGCTACTGCTGCTGATAAGGATGAACATTTAATCGGTGATACAACCCATGATTGCAACAGATAAAAATGGTCTTGTGTGTGTTTTTTAAATTGCTTCCTCTTGGTCAAACCACCTCAATCCATATACTCTTTGGTTCTTTCGGTAAAGTCACGTAGGTAGAACAAAATAATAGATCACGACGTTTTGATCGCAACACAAGCAATCGTCTTCAGGTGAATCCACCCTCTACAGCTACGTTTCATTGTTCTCTCAACCTCCCAAGGCACTGGTCAAGATGGCAGGCCCATCTCGTAACCGGCTGCTCTTTCTCAAACACCACCCCGATCATCTCATTGTTGTTTGCGCTCGCGACTTATATTCTTTTCCGTTAAAATGCAACGCGAAAGACCCCATGCGGCGCACATTCTTGCTGGTGGAGGTGCGATTTTAGCTTTTTTTTGGTGTACAGCGCCCCTCGGTGGTGATGGGTAGAATAGGCAGCACGTGGGGTCTGGTCCCGTTTTATTATGTTGAACTTCTTTCGCACCGCACGTTGCTCATCGGAGGTGCGGGGGAAGGGCAACCGACTAAACGGCAAAAAGGCAGTTCTAAAGAAATGCATTTTCTATTTGGATTAAAAAGTGCAAAGCTGGTTCCATAACATCGGAAGGAAGAGCGTTCCAGACCGCCGCGCGATGCGGTGACCGACTTTGTTCGATGGCCAGCCAAGATCCGGATGACCGGAGTTCGCGTGATGGTTTAACCTCCTTGACGAGATCAGAGAGGTATTGTGGGTCATTTGTGGCAAACACTTTGTGTGTTGAGCCAACCTACAATGCACTCCCAAATATCCTCATACATTTCCTCTTCCTATATTACCGTCATAGGTGGCGCGGGAGTTTCCACACTGCTACGAACCCGGTGGCCTAAGTGTGATCTTTTGAGAGACGCGCACTGACCGTGCGTGGTGAAGTATAGTCAACCCCCATGGCCGGACACGGCGTGAGCAAGCCCTCATCGAGCAGTGCAACGACACGGGGAGACCCTAAATGATTGTTATACTGCATTTGTATGTCGTAATGTCATGGTTTAAGGGGCGGGGAAGCTTTTTTCTGCCAAGGGCCATTTGGATATTTATAACATCATTCGCGGGCCATGCAAAAATTGCCAACTTTAAAATTAGCCTGTTATATTTGGTCAAACATTTAATTAACTCACCCCTAATGTGATGGCTGGAACAGACCAAATGATTTCGCGGGCCTTATACGGCCTTATACGGCCCACACGTTCCCCACCCAAACCCTCCGCAGCACAGTATTAGCAGGTATGACATCTATGAATACTGGTAAGCGAGGGTTGGTGGAGCTAACAAATGTTGCAAAACTCCCCTTCCTTGGGCGACGAGCAGGTGTCCATGGCCTGGCTCGCCAGCAGAACGCGGTACGGAAACGGACTAATCTCCATCTGTATGCATGTACCGTGTGTTGAAATTCTTTCGCACCGTACGTATCCAACCGTGATAATCGGTTGGCTTAGGAATTAGTAAAAAAAATAGTTCTAAAGAAATTAGGTTTTAATCTCGACGATTTAAAAGTACATAGCTCTAGTGGCTTCCTAATATCGGAAGCAAGAGCGTCCAGAATCTGAAAGAGCGCGGTTTCCTCCGGCATGTAAACACGCATTAATAGGCCGATAACGCATTAATGCAGTATATGAAGGACCGCGTGGCTGCCTTCGTGTTTGTCTGCGGTTCCTCGCGCCTCAAAGTTGTTCCGTTTACGACGGTGAGCGAATGAATACCATGCGAATTACAATTGTAACATTACTATTGAATCGCTCCTTCTTTCGTGATGGCCGTCACATCGAAAGCGTCCCATACCATGTCTGCCACCACGTTACTCAGTTTAACACGGAGGATTTCGCGACCAATATTCATAATACAGGTCTTATGGGTTAGATCGCGTAAATATATAAAAGTGTCGTTAAACCCGCCACCACCTGACACAGCCAACTAGTAAGGGTTGTCACGTAAACACAAGATGCCAATTCGTTACTAGTACAGCACAACCGGTGTACCGAATTGGCATGTTCTGTTTACGTGACAAACCTGACTAATTGGCTGTGTCGGGTGGTGGCGGGTTTAACGACACATTTATATATTTACGCGATACAACACAAAACACCTGTATCATGGACACTACGTTACTATTAGTGAGAATTGGCCGCCATCCCTTCGAGCCAAGTATCCTGACCAAGCCCAACTTAATAGCTCGAACGAGATGTCTGTGTTTGAATGAAGCGTCTCATCAG